ACCAGCTGTTTGGTGTCCGTCAGCTGCCAGATGAGGTTGAGCTGCGCCAGGCTGAAGCCGGGCTCGGGGGAGAAGGAGCAGCGCAAGGTGGCGTCGGTGCCCACCAGGGCCACCACCGGGTCTTCAGGAACCTGGACCTCCACGGCTCCTGGGGACAGAGGGACGGAGCAGTAAGCAAGGGCAGGGACTCTCTGGGCTACCACCCCACAGTCTCCCCCATCAACCCCCAGGCCCTGTTCCATCTTCCTATTTTACCCTGAGCCCCGAAGGCAGGTTGAGTCCCAGCGTTCTCAGCTGTGGAGCCTCCCCAACCTTCCGAGAGCAACCCCAGCAGGTTGGCCTTGGCCTGGCAAGTTCAATCTCAGGTGCCAGGCCTGCGGCACTGACTCTCAGGGGCCCTGGCCCTGGCAACGCCCCTCACCCATCAGGACTCCCTTCCCTCTCCTGTCCCTCTGCTCTCCACTGCCCCAGATGTGTCTCCACCCTTTCTAGAGGTTTCCGGAACCTTGAAATCAAGACAGCCAAGGCCTGTGATCACTGACCAGCGCCCAATAGGGGTGTCCCCGCACACACTTTCTCTCTCTCCCTGTCATTACTGGGCATCTGGCTGTTCTGGGGAACTGCGGGTAGAAGCCAGATTCGGATCCCCCAGCCACCGCTAATAGAACCAGAAGCCCCTCCCTCAGGGGAACATTTAAACAAACAAAAACCTGTGGGGCTTCTGTGGGGTGTGATGGTGACGGAGCCATGCGCGTCCTGCTGCAGCACCGGGTTGCGCACCAGGCAGCTGTAGGTGCCATTAGCGCCCAGCACCACCCTCAGGACGCTGTGCACGTCGAACAAGCCCTGCTCGTTGGCCATCTGCGACGTGGTCACGTTGCTGGTCAAGGGCGCGCCCTGCCCATCCTGCCAGAACACCTCGGCCTCGGGGTAGCCCCGGTAGCTGGAGCACGTGATGGCCACCATGTCCCCAGGCCGCAGGTCCTTGTTGGGCTCCAGGGTCATGCTGGGCTTCGAGTAGGGGGCTGGAGGAGGCAAAGGGCAGGGGTCAAGGGCAGGGGAGGAAAAGGATGCGTGGGGCTGTGAGTACGGGGTCAGCACTGGGGCTTGGGGTCTGGGGGCAGCGGTGCACGGGGGGTGGGCTGTGGGAGGAATGGAGGGTGGACCGAGGGGAGGACGCCCCCCTCCCGGCGCTCACCGGCCACCTGCAGGCTGACCGCAGCACTGCCGAAGTCCCGGATGCTCACAAAGCAGGTGAAGCTGCCCTCGTCCGCCACGCGCACGCGCTGCAGCCGCAGGGACGCGTTGCCCTGAGCCAGCAGGTCCGGGAAGAGCGCCGTGCGGTTCGCGTAGGCGCTGCCCTGGTCCCGGCCCTCGGCGAAGCTGTGCACCAGCTGTTTGGTGTCCGTCAGCTGCCAGATGAGGTTGAGCTGCGCCAGGCTGAAGCCGGGCTCGGGGGAGAAGGAGCAGCGCAAGGTGGCGTCCGTGCCCACCAGGGCCACCACCGGGTCTTCAGGGACCTGGACCTCCACGGCTCCTGGGGACAGAGGGACGGAGGGGCGGGGTCTCTCCTAGCCTTGCTGGTGCCCCTCCCATCCCCAGCTAACCCCAGGCCCTGTCCAGTCCTCCTTTCATACCTGAGACCCAAAATAAGTTTACTGCCTTAGGTCCTCATTCAGTCGAGGAGAAAATAGGGGCACCTACGTGTGCCAGGTAAGAATTCGGAGTGCAACAGAGCGCAAGACCAAGGCACGCCCTGCAGAACTTACACCTGAATGGAAAGGAGGGACAAACTAGCACACAAATTCTCATTTGCATGTAATTAGGGTATGAAAGAAGAAAAGAAACCAACGATTAGAAAGTAAAGAGGTAGCTTTTCAAAAATCGGCAGGTAGTTTACACTTGTCTGTGCTATCTCATTTCCCTGTAAGCATGTTATTTTGTGAATCAGGAAGGGAAGTCTAAAAAGTGTACACCAAAAATGTTAATAGGGGTTTTCTCTGGATGAGGGGATCACAAGTGCTTTTTATCTTTTCCTAAATAAACATGACTAGTTCTTATACAAAAAAGAATACCCATACTTTTCAATATGGTAGTGAGACATGTTTTCTTTAAAGGGATGTGAAGCCGAGATTTATGGGGAACGCAAAGGAGCCGACATGCAATGAGCCAGCGTAGGAGTGTTCCTGGTAGAGGGAACAGCAGGTGGGAGGGCCCCGAGGCAAGATCTCGCATGTGGTGTGAAAATATCAGGAAGTGTCCAGCGTGGCAGGGGCATCTGGATGGAGCATGTCCAAGCCAGAGCAAGGAGGGCACTGAGAGACCAGGTAAGGGATTTAGGTTTTTCTAAGAGCAATGGGAAATCATTGGAGAGTATTAATCAGGCATAATCTGGGTAGAAATGCTTCAAACTCTCTCTCCTCTAAGGAGAGTAGACCGTAGAAAGGCAAGAGGGGGAATAATCAGAGGTTATTTCAGAAGTGATGGTGGCGTGGCTTCAGAGGGTGGCAGGAGAGATGGCGAGACTGGGACAAATTCAAGGTTTGTTTAGGAAGGAGAATCAACAGGGCTTGCTGATGAGGTGGGGGTGAGGGGAAAGCAGGAGCAGAAATCCCAGAAGCCTGAGGCAACTCCAGCGCTAGAGGCAGGATGGGGCGGTCCCCGAACCTGAACCCCCAGCGAGGAGCCCCCGGGGCAGGGTCCCCCGCCATATATCCAGTGGAGTTACTCTGCCGCTCCCCACCCAGGCACCTCTGTCTCCATTCTAGCTCTTCTTTTAAAGCCCTGGAAAGTCAGGCAGGGGTTCCTGATAGCCTTTCTTTTGCGGGGGCGAGCCCCCCAGCCTAGCACTGCCTATTGGGTGATGCTTAGATTAAGTGTGTGCTTCGGGCACCAGCAAAGCAGGCACGCTCAGAATGTGTGAGGATCAAACAGCCTTGAAACAAAGCTAATTGAATACAGGACCCATTAAAGGTTTCTTGCATTTAGAAAAATAACATTTATTTTATGGTATTTTTATTGTGGATTCCACACAGGGAGGGGATTTCATAATCTTTGCAGTGGATGGAGATTTCTAAAGGTCTTTAGCTGGCCCTGGATCTCTTGCTGCAACCCCAGTCGCCTCAGGCAAGTTCTCATCCCCTGCCAGCTGGACCAGGGGGCATCTGGGGCGTGGACCCTGAGAAATCACCCAGACAAAGCCCTTTCTCCAGAGAAATCAGAGCAGCCACAGTTAGAGATGTGCATCGCCTCTGTCATGGCCACGAGGTGGCGCCAGACACTGAGCTTTGTCTTTGGAACAGGTCCCTCAGAGCGAAGATGCTGGTTGGGATTTGAAATACCATGAGGATATTGGTATTAAAGTAGCTACCATTATTGAGTGCTCACTATGTGCCAAGCACTGCGTGGGAAGATCCACCTCATTTATTCAACACAGTTCGTGAGTACCTATTGTGGAGCCGGCACTCATCCTGGCCCTGGGGCGACCCTGCTCTGGGAACCGGGTGGGGTGGGGTGGGGGCAGTGGGGAACAGGCAAGTAAACCCAGAACCTGTCCGGGGAGGTGAATGCTAGCAAGATGAATGCGGGAGGGTCGGTATAGGGAGGGATGAGGGATGGCATGCTATTTTATACAAGGTAGCCAGTAAGTCTTGCCGAGGAGGTGAGATTTGAGCAAAACACCTGAACAAAATAATGGGTCAAGTCATGCAGATGTCTGTCTAGCAGAGCAGAAAGTTCCAAGCAGAGGAGACAGTATGTGCAAAGGTCCTGGGGAAAGAGCACACATAGTGTGTTCAGGAAATGGCATTATCACTTTCAGTGCTCACATGTCCATGTCACAGACGAGGGAATGGAGGCTAAGAAGGTACAGTAAGTTGCCTACTGGATCCCAGAGGTAGAAATGAGTGCGGCCCTGCCAGCCAGAGGCAGCGTGGCAGGACCCCTGGTGGGAGTGGGCACCCCTCCCCCATGGCCATGATCCCCGTGCCCCACCTCCAGTCCCCAGGCTGTTCCCCTCACCTGTGAGGCAGAACCACAGCACGCCCAGGGCTGCGCCCACGTGCACGGCCATGCCAGGCCTGCCACGTCCACGCAGCATCTTCCTCTGGGGCAGCTGACAGCGGGGCTCTCCGTGGAGAAGGCTGCCCCTGCCTAGGAGGAACAAGAAGTGAGGCCTCTGTCTGCAAAGGTCCTCCCGAGGCCCTCTCTCACCACATCTCCCTGGACCGGCGCGGGGAAGGCTGCAGCCGCCCACTGGGAGCTCCTCCTTCCCGTACCCCACAGGGCTTCCCACTGAGGGATCTCTGCGAGAGGGGCTGGCAGGAGGCAGTCACTGCGGAAAGCTGGGATCCAGTCTTTCGCCCTACGATGCTGGTATCCAAACATAAGGAAGAGGAAGCAAGGGGGTAAGGCCTGCTCTGGGGCAAGGACGTGTGCCGGTCAACTTGGCTTCAGACAATAGCTAGTAGGGGAGGGCAGGAGCCCAGGCTGAAGCCAGACTTAGGGATCAGCTAAGAGGCATGGACTTCATCCCAAGGCAGCTGGGAGCCACTGAAGGTTCTTGGGTAGGGGAAATGACATGGTCAGAGCTGAGCTCCGTAAGGATTAATCTGACAGCAGCTGCAGGATAAACAGAGGGGCTGGGCAGAAGAGAAGCAGCAGGTCTGGGTACGAGTCACAGCATCTGAGGACGTCGGGGGAGAGAGAGGGAGCAGTCAGGGTGTCCAGGGCTTTGAGCCCCAGTGCCCAGGTGGGGCATTCACTGAGGTAGAGAACAGAGATGTGTGAAGTTAACGGTATTTGTGAAGAAACTTCCAGGGCGGAGTTCCAGGAGGCAGCTGAGTATATGAATGAGGGACTCGAGAGAGAGAGGACATTTAGTAGTTTAATACATCTGACACGTCTGTATTGAGTGACCAACACAGACCAGAAATGGAAGAGGCCACGACTGGGGCTGACCCCCAAGGCTGGCGTCAGGACTGAGTAAGAGTCAGGGCTGTGGCCACAGGACAGGCCTGAACCAGGGGCCCCCACCTGGGTCCAGCCCGACTCCCCATCCCGGCCACCCCCAAGATGCCAGCTCTTCCCTGTGTCCCACAGCCGCTGCCACGTCCCGATCCCGTCACACAGCCAGTGTCCGCCTATGCCAGCCAACACGGGCCAGCAGCAACTGCAACAATTTCACATCCTCCTAACACCCTGGGAGACAGGCTGCACCACTGGGTCCCAGTTTTGCAGGAGAAAAATAATCAAAGCCCAGGTAAGTGATTTCATTAACGTCATAGAATTTGCCAGGCAGCACAGTGGAGACGAGTCCAGTCCTGCCACACCTCTCTGCCCTTGCAAGGAGCCAGCTCATCAGCATCAGTTCCAGTCAGTCCCCGACACCCAGCCTCAACCCTTCCAGTCCCGGCAAGCACACCGGGGCCCCCCCCCACGCACATGCCGGGCTGAGGGAGTCCTCGGCCAAACCGGTGCATCCTGGCCAGCCCCCGCCAGCTGTCCACAGTGGGGAAGCCCTGAGCAGCCACTTCCTGTCCAGACGCTTCCCGTCCAAAAGCCGCGCCGCCTGCTGAGTCAGCGGCCTTCCCCCCTCCATTCATAAAGCACCCTGGGCGGGCACCGCATCCTGTTCCACGGGGGCACCCAGCCCCAGGAAAACCCAGCAGGCAGCTGCCCGCTGCCCACACTCCCTGCAGGGAGCACCAGAGCGAAGGATGAAGGCTCCCAGCTCCCGAGTCTCCCTTCCCTCTTCGCCCCAGACAGAACCAAGCCTGTCAGCTCTTCCTGGGCCGCCTCCCTCACGCTGCTGATCCGCTGCCATCTCCCACCCTGACCTGGGCCTACCTGTGACCCTCCTCACTCGCCTGCTGGCTCCACTTTTTTCCTGCCAACCCCATTCCCTAAGGTGCTTTCTCTTAGGACCCAAGACAGAAATCTCCTCTCGTCCCTCCCCTGCTCAAGAACCTCCCGTGGCTCCCCATTCGCTATAGAAGTCAGCCCACATTCCTCTGCCTGGCACTCAAGACCCTTCTATGACCGTCTCCTCATACACCAGGCTAAGTCCTGCCACTGGGCTTTACTCCTCTGAATCACTGGGCAGTGACACCACATGCACGTGGGGGGACAGAGAGCGCCCCACCTGATCAGACCAACCAGGGCTCCCCGGGGCTGAGCGGCCCTTCCCTCCAGAGAGAGGATGAGGGGATTCTGGGGCTGGGCATTGGGCTTCTGCTCCTTGGATTCCTTTCCTGGGCCCTGGACCCTGGAAACCCACCCTCACGGCCGGCTCTGGAGAGAAGGAGCCTGACGGCCCAGAACCCAGGAGACCCGGGAACTCCACGGCACCAAGACACTCCTGCCCCAGCAGCTGGGCCTCGAGGAGCCGAGGCCGGAGGGAGAAACACACCTCAGAAATGAAGTGCTGCTCAGGGAATGGGAGGGTGGCCTGGGAACAGAGAGCCAATCCCTGCCCGCCTGGACAGATGGGCAGCCCCGGGCCCCAGAGCCACATGGAGACATGCAGGCCTCATGCGACACACATGCCCCCACCCTCCTTTCTATACTGCAAAGGGGAATTCTCATCCCCAGGCGGGACCTGCCCTGCCTCAACATGTGCCACCCCTCCCTGTGAGTCACCAGCCAGCCCTCCCTCCTCCTCCTCTTCCTCCTTCCTCCTCGGTCCCAGTCCCAGCAGCCAAACGTGGGAACTGCAAGGCACCCCGCCAGGAAAAACCACCTTGGGCTTTCACAGAGAAGCAGGAGTAAGAGGCCGGGCCGTCCTCAGCCTGAGGGTACAGCAAGTACATCCAACCCCAGGGCCACAGAAAAGCTCCCAAGAGATGACCCGAGATGTGCCCCCATAAAGCCAAAACAACAACAAAACCAGACTGAGCCTGGGCTCTGGGCCAAGATGCCCTGGGCCTGGGGGTGCCCGAGAGCATCTCCTTGCCCCCGTGGGGACCACCAGCATCACCCCACATTCTCCTAACCCCCATCTCCTCCCAATCCCTGCAGCGGCTCCATGGGCAACACTTTCCACAAAGAGGACAGGAAAGGTCAGAGGGACACAGAGCTCTGAAAATAGCAGGTAAGTCCCTGGATCCAGCTGTGCCTGAAGCACGCTGCATACTTCAACTGCGCAGACACTTGAGACAATCATTTTTTTTCCTCTTAATTGGGGTTGAGTAAGTTTCCATTATCTGTTACTAAAGGAGTCCTTGAATATGCATTCGTTCACGTCTTCAGTGATTCATTTCACTACTCACTGCAAGCGCCATAGGGAGGCACCAGGGATGGAGAGGAGACTAAGCTGTGTCTGTCCTCAAGGAGCAGGTTCTAAGGGGAAGGCGGACATGCACGTGGTCCCTGCACTTCAGTACGGCACACTGGCTGAGACACAGCAAGGGCTAGTGGAGGCACCTCACAGACGTGATGACCCCAAAGGTGAGTCCTGAAAAGGCACGAGCAGCTCCCTGGGTAGACAAACTGGGACAGGTGGTCCCTTCCCTCGCCTCAAGAGACCTGTCCTCCTGGCACTGCCTGCCTGCCTCCCAGCCAGATCCTCAAATTGTAGAAAGTGAACCCAAAGTACAGGTTCTAGGCCCAACTCTGATATCTTGCTGTGCAATCTTAACCAGGTGATTTCCCCTCTCTGAGCTCAATGTTCCCACCTATAAAAGAAAACTTTTTTGGATGCTAGTGGAACTTCATCAGTACTTTAGGCTTTCAGGTACTATATCCTTAAGGTTTAGCCAATTTGCTGCCATGTAGGTCACACTGAAAGGTACAAAGTGACTGTGGCAGAAAGTACTAGTAGTCCTCTTACACCCATTCCCCCCTTCTGCAGAATTCTTAGGTAGGCACATGGCCACTCAGCTAAAGACTACACATCCCAGCCTTCCTTGCAGCTGGGTGTGGCTGTGTGATGTGTACCCTGCTGTGAATAACTTCCGGGTCATGGCTTTAAAGTGAGGGAGCATACCCTCTCCCTTCTACCCACTTCCCTCTGGCTGGAACACAGGTGTGGTGAGCCCTCCAGGACCACACTGCCAAAGGCAGCGCCCTGGGGACTGCAGAGCAGCAAGGCAGAGGACCCTGAGGGACTGTCGCATCAGCCCTGGGTATACCTGGATGGTCTCATGGGGGAGAGATAAACATTTATTCCAGCACACGTCACTGTTATTTTGGGTCTTTCTCACGGCATCTGAACTAATTTAGGGAGCCATCCCTCCTTTACCTTCCCTCCTCTTGCCCCTCTCCCTACCCCACGAAATTGCCACTGCTCAGAGCCACACAAGGAAACCACACCTAAAACAGGTATCTCAAAATATGACCTGGAGACTCACTTAGTGAGTCAGAGTCACTTAGTGATGCCTGAGCCCGGCGTGGGCCATATGTCAAGGGCGGACGTGGCCAGGCTTGGGGATTGCTCGTCGGGAAGGACGCACTGAAGGCTCGCACGGAAGAGCGAGTGTGGGCGCACTGCTGCACGGGGAGGCCTGGAAACGAAGCGTGAACGACTCCTACTGAGCTTGGCCACGGATCACACACGGTCCTGGGAGCTCCCGGAGACACAAAGCCGGAGCTCAGAACAGAATGACAGGGGAGTCATCCCCGCACTGGTGGTGGCAGAGGGCAGCCCTGAGATCGCTAAGGGGGATGACGGGGTGCGCAGAAGGGCAAATTTTGGAGAAACTACAGCAGTCAATGGTCGGGTATCAGAACAGGGCGCCGCTCTCTGGCCCCCCACAGCCTCTGTGTACCCCGGTGGTGATGGGCACCCACTGCCTCCAAAGGCAGTGCGCTTGCTCGTGGACAGCTCTCATCGGTGGGAAGCGCTGCCTTACGCCCGGCCCACATCAGTCTTCATCTGATCCCTGAGACCATTCAGAACCAACCCCCTTCCGTATAACAGCCTTGCAAGTCTCTAATCTTCCTCGGTGAGGTCGCCCTTGGGCAGCCATGTCACACTGTTCACCAAAACAACCCCGAATGACGGACTATCCAATCTGTGACCAGTGATCAGAAGTCACTCACACTCATTGCTACTAATCCACGTTTCTGCCATCCTCTTCTGACGGCGTGGAGCACGGGGAAGCTGCACTTCACTCTGTTAAACCGGATCCATCCCTCCACTGCCACGACCTTTT